ATATATTATATTTAATTTTACAAATTGTAATTATATGTTGAATTATCCCGATTAATTATAGAAAAAAAACAAATATATAATTAAAAGAAAATTAATGTTAATGAAAATATTTCAGAATATTCAAATTTTTACATAATTATTGAACCTATAATAAAGCATAATGAAATAGATATATTAATCTAATCATTAAAATAATTTTAGATGAGTTCATTTTAGATTAAGACTAGAAAAATCATTCATTGTCTATAGCAATAATTAGGTGTTCCTTAGAATTTTTGGTAAAATTAAACAATATGTTTGTTTAATTTTGATTTTGTCCTACTTACTCTCATTAATAAATTCCAAAAAACTATAAAAATAAACTTTTGGCTTACAATTACCTAATTCATAATATGTATTTCTATAATCTACTTCTCTTAATTTTATTTTATTTCTCTTTCATTATTTGTATATGTAATATAAAATGGTGAATTTAAATCTTATCCTAATAAGTGGTATAAAAATTAATCACTTTTAGATGAACAGTCTAATTAATTAAAAAAATACCCAATAATGTAATAAATTTATTAAATATTTATGGTTAATATGTGCTGGTGAGTAAGAAACTTATTTTAATAGCTTTTTTGGAGTGAATAAATTAAAATAAGTTTTGTGAATAAACTTTTTGCTTTAATATTTTATTATTTAAATAAAAAAAATAATGAAAACTCTTAACTGCGCGAATTTGTCTGAAACTTTGGTTTAGACATTATATAACGATTCTCAAAATCAATTATATGGGCTTGTAGAGACTAAAAACAACTATTATTGCAATATATCAAATTAATTATTAAGACTTTTCACTTTTTCTGATTTTGAATAAACTTTATTAAATCCATTATATTAGGCAGAAATAGGAACAACAGAAGGCAGTGTTAACTAGGTCTTTTTACCTGCTTGTTATGCTTATTCAATATTAAGGATATTTATGGTGATTTCGGTAGCATTTTATGTTAGACAGAAAATGAAAGAAATTTTTGCTTAGTCTGAAAAAAAGTTCACAGAAGAAAAGTAATATGAGCTTGATTGTTATAAGTGGACTATTGCTATATCATTGTATGTAGAGATAATTTGTGCTCTAGTAATATATAAATTATAGTTTAGAGAGATTTTTTATTGTTTAAGGGTACAATTTTATATTCAAATATTATGAATTAAGGACAAATAAATTGTTATATTGATATTTATGGGGGCGGAAATATGACTTGTAGTAATTCTAGTCCATTTAACTAAACTTGGAGACAGTTTAATTACAAAAGAGATTTATGCAATTGCCTTTATACTGATCCATTATCACAAACTGCTTATATGTAATTTTCAATAATTTTTTGGATTGTAACAGAATCGATAACTTAAGGATTAGTAGGATTTACAGTTCTTATTTTAAGTAGATTAAATAAAAAAGAATCATCAGGATGGAATTTCATTAAACCTAGTTTTATTCGAATCATATGTGTAACAATCCTAATGATGGCTTTATATTGCATACTCATTTTTGTTTGCAATATGCAGATTTACTATAGATTTTATAATCTAAGTGTAGTTAGTTATTATCTCTTATAAAAATGCATTATGTTTTTGGTAATTTTTGATAAACTTTACAGTAAAGTTTGGTTGGAATTAAAATTAAGATTGCCGACATTGCATTCAAGTGGTATTGCATGGTCAAAAACAATGAATATGTTAAAGAGAAGGATATAAAAACCAGTAGAACCATCAGAATAAATAAAAGAGAAATATCAGGAAAAATATAGATAACAATATGAAATAACATTAGAAAAATATTTTGATGATGCTATTTAACCAAATTTAGATAGATATGAAAGGGAATATAATGCAAAAATGAAAACTTAATGGTATGATTATTTAAATTACATTTTATTAATTAATCTAATAGGAATAATTGGATATATTTTTATAGCTTTATTCGGCTTATTTTAGCCAACTAATACTGATAGTTCAAATTAACATTATTTTTTATTTTGGATAGGTTTCATCTTAGCTTTAGTGGAGTTGATTGTTTTTGAAGTATCAAATGTAGTATTTTAATTGCATTGCTTTTTAATTGAACTTTATAAATAATGCGAAGAAGAATGCAGTGCATTAGATACAAATACAATTTAATAAGAAAGTGGACTGAATACATTATCTAATTGAAACATATTATAGCATAATCTATTTATAATTCAAACAATGCTAAAATTTGGTGATTTTTCTTACTTTAACCAATTAAAATTTTAAACCTAATCGTAAAAATTATTCTCTTTAGTTCCAAATTTAGTGAAGATTAATTTAGAGCATCTTTCAATAATAGAATTTGATGTAACATAGATAATAAATAAATGAACATTCTATGGTATCTTGTATTCTTAATTAATGCATGTTTCCTACTCATAACCTATGCATTTATCTATTTCCTTTTACATCTCCAAATTTCACTTTTACTTTAACTAGATTATGTAAATAAAATGTATCTAATGATCCTTCTACATTAAAAGTAGTGTTTTCTAAGTTCTTCAATAAAACTGAAACATTTTCTGATGATATTGAATCCTAATAATTGTCTTTGGTTATCACTATGGAATCATTTTCGAAAAAAATTTATTTTTCTTCTTAAATTTAAGTTTGTAACTGATTTCCTTTTAGAAAAGGCTTTGAAAATTTAAACTTTTATTTAGGAATGATTTAGGATCTTAAAGTGAATATTGTACAACTTCTTTATATTATTATTTATCATAAGCAATTAAGGCATAGTTGATATCCACATATTATTGAATTAATTCTACAGTTTTTAAAGTATTTTAATTAATTGATTAAAAGTATTTTACTATCATAGAGTTAACGAAACTGTTTTAAACATATAATTATAATTCTTTAAGATCTTTTGTTTGTAGTTTAATTTCCTATCTTCTATCTTTTCAAGTTTTTAATTTATCTGCCTATTTATTAAAGTATGGTTCAAATTATCGTTTTCTTAATTATTATTGTTAACTTAACAAAGAATTGGACATCTAAATATTTTCTTTTATAATTAAATATATTTATTAAAATTCAAAAAATATCAAATGCTTATATTTAGAATTCTGATGTTTCTTTTAGCTTCCAATATTCTTAACCAAAGGTATGTTTGCCATTCCTTTAAAGAAACCATCTAGGAATATGATCTATTTTCTGCTCATTTAGCTCCTTTCTAGCTAATCGTTATTTTTATTCTAATCTAGTTTTCTCAATTGCTGCGAAATCAATATTACTATTTTCTAAGGCTCTTTAATCAGGTCTGAATCTAGAATCAGTAGGTGGCAATGTTTTTAATAGCTATCTATTTAAGTGATTCAATTATAAAGCAAATCGAGTGAAGTAATATTATTAATCACATTTTAAAGGTAATTGATTACGAACCCAAATTACTTTGTTAATTCCTCCAATTGAAATACTTATTTCTGAATTCCATTTACCTTATATTGTACAATATTATATTCCTTGTTTGTCTTTAACAAATCCTTTTAATTCATATGATGCTTCTGAGGATCCTTCAATCAATTTAAGAGTTCCTGTATCTCCGGTTATTTCATTTTTAAATTTCATTTCTCCATAATGATCTAGATATTAAGGTCCCATAATTAAATTTTTAAAAGAGGATTTACATCTTTAAAATGCAAATTAATCTTAATGTTTTTTTAATGTAATATTAACCCATCCAAGAGGTGTTACAGTAATAGATTTACCCCAGAAAGATGTAGTAACATTATTATCAGATAAAAATTCAAAATGATCATTTTCCGCATAACCAACAGATATAGGGGGATGATGTGAGACTTATTCTGAAATATACTTAAATTTATCACAAGTAAATTCAAAAGTTTCACCTAGAATAGGATTAAATGGTTTTTTGACTCTATTAATTGTAGCTGATAATCCTGCTACTGCAAAAACCATAACATAAGCTAACCTTTCACAACTATTTGTAAATGTATCTGCTTAATCTAATAGTTCTGAATATTCTAAATTTTCACATAAATTTTAAAGCATTGATAAAGGTTCATTAAAAGTAACTGGAAATGCAATTTTAGTAAGGTCTTTTCCAATCATATCTTTTAATAGGGAAACGAACTTTATGCTTTCGTTAGGATCCTTAAAAGCAGGTAATTATTCTCTAGTTTCATCAATTCCTATGATCATATCTTTAAATGCTTCATTATTGATTAGATTCTTATATTTAATTGGTTATGGAATTCTAATTTATTCAAGTAACTAATATAATGAAGATACTCCAGCTAGTGACTTTTTTTTTGAAGAAAGTCTTCTTACTAATTGTCTATCATCATAAAGTTCATGATTGATAGAATAAAATTCATCTTCATCCATTTTAAAACTCATAAATTGTTCTGTAGGTAAAAATTCTTCATCATATTATAGATCATGATGATCAGGTGGATTTTAATCATTAATTTCTCTGAATTTTTCTTATAATTTTTTGCTTATTTAAATCAACTTGTTATATTCTTCATCTAATTGGGATGCACAAGATGTGGTAGTGTGCTAAATTTTCAAAGGGATATACTTTTAATTCTTAAATCAACTAACTGATTCTTTAAGTATTGTTTAAAGATATCTATTCCTCCAATTATGCTTACATAACCCAAAATTATGTTAATGTTGTATGGATACGTTTCAAATCTAATTCTGGTACACCTTCTATAAAATAGAATGGATTCTTTTTTCTCTAGACTAATATTTTATTCTCAGATTTAGATGTAAACTAAATAACGATTATATTATACTCTTTATTAAGCAAATAAAAGAGCATCTAACCACTTTTATTTCTCTTATACTGATGAAGCTCTTAAATTCATTTCACTCATTCCATAATTTATAACTATTCTCAATGGATCTTTTGGGACTGATCTTATTGAACATATACTTAAATGTACTTGACCTAATAATTATATAATATTAAATACCTTTTTTTGGAGTTCCTTTAGATTAACAATATATTAATGAATCTTCATGTAAAATAAAATACCTATTTTACCATTAATACATAAAGTTCACCCATTTCTTTAAATAACCTTCCATAATTTATAATTAATTAAATCCAACTAGATATTTCATTATCAGTTTTAATTCAATTCATGATACTTATTCATAATAAATTTATTTTACTATTAATGCTCTTCTCTAAAGAACCATCAAATAAAAAAAAGTTTTATTATCGTAATATCCTAACCTCAAGTTCAAAATATCAAATACTCAAATTAAATCAAACTCCTTAAATATAATCAGTCTCAAATTCAAATCTCTTAAATATACATCATAAAACAAGTTTAACATTTCATTTACCACAAAAATCTCAACATATCATTAACTCAGAAACACCTCGACATAAACGATATCATACTAATAAATCTCAACAACTTATACAACCAAAGTCTTCATCTGGATAACATACTTAAAAAAGCAGTAAAGAACGCAGAGCTCCTTTACATAATAAAAAAATACCAATTGCAGATTCATCATTACATATTGCAGATTATATTGAATTATTGAAAAATAAATCATAATCAAACCTTCATTATAAATATTCAGATCTTTTAAAAGATTAATCTTTACAGACTTCATCTATACAATTTAAATTATCAACACCCAAAAAAACAAAAGAAGAATCAAGAATTCATTTATAACTTCTTTTATAATGGTATATTTACATATCATCTTAGTACACATACAATAGCTAAAATAAAGGATGCACCCAATTTTTAATCTTCTATTATTAATTCATTTACTCATCAATATCCAAATTTATCTTTAATCATAGATCAGTTTATATAAGATTTAGATGTAGCTGTGTAATTATATAATACTGAAAATTAATTATCATAAACATTATTAAGAATTACAGGACTTGATTATAAAATATTTCATTTACTGTTTAAACCAAAGTAAGACTTCCCACAATCACATCTTTAATTCAAAATTGATGATGATTTCTTTTTAAATTATAAATTCTATAAACCTACTAAATATGATATTTATTATAGAGTATATGGAGCTGGTGAATTGCCCTTAGAATTTCAAGAACAACTAGGTGAATTTAATCCTCGGATTATTAAATATAGATTTAAAGAATCTGAATATTAAGCTGCAATGCTTCTTAAAGAATAAACCCCCATTCTCGACTAAGATTTTGTAAGAAAAATTATTTATTATTAAAAAAACCTTTCATTATTTTTAAAACAAAAATCAAATGAAGTCTTAAATAGTTTCAAAGAATAATTAAATCAAGATGAATATTCGAATAATAATAATATTTTAAGATAAACTATACTATCAAAATTGATTGATTCTGAACATTTGATTGGCAATTTTCCTCATATAACAAGATCAAACAGATATATGTTTGAAAAAATGGAATTGCAGCTATAAAATAAAAATTATTCTCAAAGATTACAAGTCCCAACGAATTGAGTTTAGTTTTAATTTACAATATTAATAATATAATATAAAAATATATTAAAGTTCCAAAAATATAGTAGATGTGATTATATATATATATTTAGAATATAAATATAAGAAATATAAGATTTATTATAATTTTTATATTTTTAGATGAACGTCACTTTAAAATGTCATGGCAGGGTTAAAGGATTTTGTATTTTTGAAAATTGTTAGAATCCACGAATTTTTTGTTTAAAGTGCATGAAAGATCATAATCATAATATGCATGATGACGCTGAGCCTTTCTTTGTAGAAATTGAGGATTTAGAAAAATGGTTATCAGATAAATTTTAAATTTCATAATAACTTGTAGAGGAATTAGTTAAACTATGCATAAATATATAGAAAAGTTTCACAACATTTAAAAAATATATAAATCAATTTGATTTCAATCATAATAACTCAGATGTAACACAACTTTCTTTAACTCAATTGAATAATATCATAAATCATGATATTATATTATCAAAATATTCTACTTATATTTAAGATCTAATATTACCTTTTAGTTTAGAATTTGAAAGAATATTGAATCTACAAACTCAAAATAAAAAGGTAAATTATAAAATTTATTTAGAATGATGAGATAGATTTAAAATAAAAAATATAAGAATTTTTAAAAATTGGTTTTTTTTTATTATATAATTAAGGTGATATATTAAGAGGACATGAATATTATAAAGAAGCTACCAAAATATATGAAGTAGCTTCATAATTAAACAAAAAAGAATATTTAGCTTTATGGAATATTGGTATTATTTGAAATATTTTTCATAGCTGATTGCCTAAAGAAATAAAGATAGTTTGATGAAGCCATTTTATATTATAAATAGGCACTTGATTGCACAAGTTAAAATAAAGAAGGTTCATTTTTAGGAATTGGTTTTANTAAACTATACTATCAAAATTGATTGATTCTGAACATTTGATTGGCAATTTTCCTCATATAACAAGATCAAACAGATATATGTTTGAAAAAATGGAATTGCAGCTATAAAATAAAAATTATTCTCAAAGATTACAAGTCCCAACGAATTGAGTTTAGTTTTAATTTACAATATTAATAATATAATATAAAAATATATTAAAGTTCCAAAAATATAGTAGATGTGATTATATATATATATTTAGAATATAAATATAAGAAATATAAGATTTATTATAATTTTTATATTTTTAGATGAACGTCACTTTAAAATGTCATGGCAGGGTTAAAGGATTTTGTATTTTTGAAAATTGTTAGAATCCACGAATTTTTTGTTTAAAGTGCATGAAAGATCATAATCATAATATGCATGATGACGCTGAGCCTTTCTTTGTAGAAATTGAGGATTTAGAAAAATGGTTATCAGATAAATTTTAAATTTCATAATAACTTGTAGAGGAATTAGTTAAACTATGCATAAATATATAGAAAAGTTTCACAACATTTAAAAAATATATAAATCAATTTGATTTCAATCATAATAACTCAGATGTAACACAACTTTCTTTAACTCAATTGAATAATATCATAAATCATGATATTATATTATCAAAATATTCTACTTATATTTAAGATCTAATATTACCTTTTAGTTTAGAATTTGAAAGAATATTGAATCTACAAACTCAAAATAAAAAGGTAAATTATAAAATTTATTTAGAATGATGAGATAGATTTAAAATAAAAAATATAAGAATTTTTAAAAATTGGTTTTTTTTTATTATATAATTAAGGTGATATATTAAGAGGACATGAATATTATAAAGAAGCTACCAAAATATATGAAGTAGCTTCATAATTAAACAAAAAAGAATATTTAGCTTTATGGAATATTGGTATTATTTGAAATATTTTTCATAGCTGATTGCCTAAAGAAATAAAGATAGTTTGATGAAGCCATTTTATATTATAAATAGGCACTTGATTGCACAAGTTAAAATAAAGAAGGTTCATTTTTAGGAATTGGTTTTAGGAAATTATATAATTAGGGTTGTGCTTACTTGAGAGTAATTAATTGGACGATGCTGAAATTTATTTGAACAAAGCCTTAGCAGTTAATCCTAACATTTAAGCTGCAAAGTTTGGATTAAGTAATAAATGTGAACATAAATTAGATGAAATAAAGAGCAGAAAATTTTGATTACATTTGATAATGATTTTTATCTTTTATAAATTTAATAATATATATAATATCTTAATTTTAATTTAATATATATAAAACTAAAATGTTCTAGTTATCAAATAAATTAGATAAATAAAATTAAGTATATTAAAAATAATAATATAATTTACTAAAATTAAATGGAGAGAACATCATTTATGTAATAAAAAAAAGAATATAGGTTATTTATAGTTTTGAAAATAAAAAAAAAGAAAGTTAAATAAAAAATATATAAGAAAAGATAATAATAATATAATTAATATATTTTTATATGTCTCAACCGTTAAGAGTAGATGATTTTGTAGATGAACTTCGAAAATATGATAGAAAAGAGGATTTTATGGCTGTAATGAAATAATATGAGCAAAGGTACTTTGAAATAGAAATATAGATATTATGATTAATTTGAATAGTTTGCAAATAACAATTTTCCTCCTGAATTATAGAGATAATAGAGACCAAAATAAGAATATCTATTTAAATAATAACCATAATAATAAAAGCCACCAGTAGTTCGTTCAAATTCAGCAAATAAATTGGAATACTAAGATTAATATTAAATATTTGCATAATAGTAAATATAAGTACCATAAATGGCATAAATTCCTTAAAGACCACCATCTAGAGGTGAATTATAAGATCCTTTTAAGAGACCATAAGATCAATATGATTATAGATTGAGTCCTGTTGTTTAATAAGATCCTTTTAGAGGTTTAAATAAATAGTAGTATAATTCATAATAAAGGAATCCTACTTAAATTCCAAATTAATAAATTCCATTTTCACCATTTTAAGCTGCTTAAGGATAAGGTTTAGTAAATAATAATTAATAAATGGGCTTACCATTTGGGAATTAAGGAGGTGCTATTATTAATCCTTTATTCCAGAATTATGGTTTATAATAATAATAATAATATGAATAAGCTTAATATTAATAATAAAATGTATAATATCCTAAAACAGGACCAAATTAATAATAATAAATGGATGCTTTTCTTAATGAGATAAAATCTTAAAGAATTCAAAAGTAATAATAATATAAATGAAATAAAATACTTATTTAAATATTATTGATATATCTAAAGATAATTTAATATTAATAAATTATATATATTGATAATGAAGTACATATAAAATATTCCATCATCAATTATGGACTTCTGTGCTTAATCTTTTTATAGGTGGTAGTATTTAAGATAATTTTTTAAATGATTGAGTTTCATTTCTCCTTGAAGTTTATGGTAAAATGGCATTGCTTTTAGATTTTAATGATAATCTTGGTTTTTATATTGACAAAGTCATAGGTTTTTTATAATCTTTAAATAATGGACATCCTTATTCATCATATTCAACTTGCATCACTGGATGATTGAGTACTTCCTAACATGAAATTCTTATATCTGGATTAGGATTTAACATTTTGATTAATAGATTAATTACTATATATGTTATATATAATTTACATTATCTATTTCCAAAACAATCTTCTAACAATTTATTCATATTTATATTACATTCCTTATTTAATGATTTTAAATTATTTCCTTAGAATAATGGTTTAGTAGTAGTTCTAATTAAATTTATTATTAATACAATTCATAAAGTAAACAACCTAAACTGAAGACATCACATTTTTCATTATAAGATTTCTATTTATCATCTTCACATGCAAATACTTCTGGTGCCATATATCCATATGATCCACAATATTAATAAACATTAAGTTATTTTTATATTGTAGATGATACACCAAAATCACTTATTAATGGACCATCTTAAACTGATAAACCAAACTATTTCAAAGATACTGGTTATCTAAATAATATATTTCCTGGTTTTATATCTCTATGCATTAAACCTTTTTATTTTATTATTTTATACCTATGTCATGCATATATTTGATTCCTTCCACTATTTGTCTAAATATCACTTTTACTGTTAAAAATGGTAATGGTTCTTCTAATTTTTTAATTGCTTACTCAAGATTACCACCTCTGCATAATTAAGTGATTAAGTAAATTTATGCTTTATTTTCAAAAACATCATATAATTTCAATATATTTTAATGATTCATATATCTCATCACTTTTACTTCATTATCTATTTATTCCTATAATTTATTTATATATTACTCTCCATTAAGTTGGATCCTTTAACATTAGCATCTTTTTGAGGAATGCTTTTATTGCTACTTTTGTACCATCACCCTTTGATTTACCAATGTAAACACTAGCAAAACTTCCACTACCAATCAATTTTTCTATCTCATAATATTTTTGATAATCCATTAGTGGTAATTTCTATTTTAGAAATATTTCCCACATGCCTGGTTAATCCACAAACTAATACTCTATAGGTTTAGCTATAAAGTCAGTTTCTAACATTAGATAGTTCTATTATTTTATTGATCTTATTTAAAAGCGTACATGACTACTTAGAGAAACCATTTTCGCACCTTTATCAGACTTACATTAATTTTTAAAGATTACAATTCGATATAGTTTGGAATCAGATAGGATTAGTGTAATTTTCCTTCCGTTCTTTGTAATGAATCTGGAACTAAGTATTCCAGATGGTGCATCATAAGATTTATTGAAGAGCTTTATAATTTGCATATATGTAAAATTAATCAATTAATCAAATTTTGACCAGACATTTATATATCGTCAGGATTATTTGATTTCTTTTGATAATGGCAGAATTAAAAAGTTAAATTTTTTACATACAATAATTTTTCAAATCATTAAAATCCCTTTAAATATTATATTACATCTTGAAATGATGGCCTTTTCTAAGGATCTTTATCCCAACATTTAATCATCAACTCTTTAATAAATAAAGGGCAACCAGTCTAAATTAAACTCAAATCAGGTCTTCCATTATCTACTGCTACTAATTTCATAATAGCAGGTGGATTAGTAGATAATTATTTATATGGTGTTTCTCTGCAACATATTTCCCATAAAACTATCTAAATTTGATAGAACTGTTTATTTTACTGCATATGAATAGACATCAGCTTTTATAGTATAAGGAACATTCTAGAACACCTCAGGAGCCATCCAATGCTAATTTTATATTAATATTATACAAAAGTTCCTAAAACACTAGTCATTTATTCACCATTATCTGCTTATACTCTAGCTAATCCAAAATCTGCTATTTTTATATTTAATCTATTCTAATCAAATGTTGATTCAAGTAATAAACTATTAAATAATTAAATATATCTACTTTAAACTCTTAAGATCTCTATGTATTAAAGGAGGATTTAATTTATGTAAATGAAGCATTCCATCTGCTATTTGAATAGCCATTTTTACCCTTTATTACCAATTTATTTCTAAATGTTTTTTTCTGTGTAATAAATCAAAAAGTGTTCCACCAGCACAATATTCTGTTACAATATATAATTCATCATCTTTTTAAGAAATTCCCAATAGCTATACTAAATTTTGATGTCTTTATATTGTTACTAATGCTGAAATTTCCCTCCTAAATTCTTTTAAATGATTTTCATTTAATGATTTAATTTTCATCTTTTTAATAGCAACCTCTCCTCCTCTCCAATATCCTTTATAAACTTCACAACTACTTCCTGTTCCTATTAGTTTTTCAAGTTTTAATTAATCATGATTAATCATCCATTCAGAAACATCTAAAAAATTATTATATATTTTATACTTGTCCCTTCCTTGTTAAAGAAATCAACCACTTAAAAAGTGTTTTATTAATTACTTTATATTAATTCATTTTTATTGAATATTTTCTATGTCTAATTTTAATTTAAATTAAACTAATCAAAAATATTATTAGATAATGTATTAGCTGATTTAATTCTTTAATTTTCTACATTTGATTTTGGTCCCCAATTCAAGAATTCCTTATTATTTAATAAATCTTTTGTTAACTATACATTATTAGATAAAGGAATTCCTATCTATTTTTCATAGAATTCAACTGGTTTTAAAGGTAATTATTTAGAATCATTAAATTCATTCTACTATTCATCTTGTTGATCATCATCATCATCATCAGAATAATCTAATCCTTTATATTCTCCTTATTATTTTGTTTTAGATTATTTTTTTTTTTATTCAACATTTTTTATAATTACTGATTCTCTTTAATTTTCAACTACTTATTTTTGTTATTATATAATAGCAAAATTATTTATATCTTCTTAATAGATATTTTACTATGAATTATTCTTATTAATATTTATTTATGGTTAGGATTCAAAATTAAATTAATTTGATTTTTCTGGTTAAACTTAACAAGAAACAACAGCTTTAATAGTTTATGATGATGATTTTTCAAAATTTGGTTCCAATTTAACTATTTCTTCATCATATTCTATTACTTAATTAATCATTATTTCTCCATAACTTTAAGGTAATTTAATTCCATCAATTGAATTTGAATAACTTAAAAATTCATTAATATTAAACTCTCCTCTTTTAGATTAAAATAATGTCACTTTTTGTAAAGTTTCAATAACATTTTTAGAAGGATCTGGTATAAGTTATTAAAATTAAGGTATTCTCTTACAATTAGAAAGGAAATTAATAGTTGATTAAAAACTAATTTAATAATCTTCTTATAATATAAGAAAAGCTTATTTAACTTCATTACTATTAGTGGGTTATCCACTTATATAATTAGTACTTTACTTTAATGCATAAAATATATGAGTAAATGTACAAAGAATGTTGTATAATTCATCTGCCATTGTTATAGCTAGACCTAATTATAAATTAATTAAATTTTATTCTTGAAAAGATATATTAGATGTGAAATTAAGAAATTATTTCCATAAGTTCATCATATTATTCAATAATGCAACACTTAATTTTTATTTCTATATTCCATTCATATTATTAAAGAATGGTATCATTGCATAATTACCTTCAAAAAACTTTAAATAATATGTATGAAATTTCACTTTTTCCAAAAGTATAATTGAATAATTATACAATAAATTAGTGAAAAATTAAGTTCTAAATTTGTCTTTAGAACTTTTCATTTAATTTGTTTCTTAATGATTTTTAATTCTCTCTAAAATAGCATTTGGGGAATTTGTTTAATGTTATATAAGAATAGTTTCTTAAGGACCTTTTTTAACATAGTTATGTAATAATTACAAAGCCTTAAATGTTATTATTACAGAATTTAATTAAAGTCTATTAGATAATTTTTCATAAAATTTAGGAATTTTTTATTTTTTTTACCATGCTTTACAATGAAGAAATCTAAAATATTTTTAACAAGGAGCTGCATCAACTTCTTCTAAACATGCAGCTATCCAATAATCTGTTTTTTAAGCAACTTTACTTACTAGTTTAACAAATTTAGTAGATAAAGTGGATTAAGGTTTTACTTAATCTTTAAATTCAAGGGAATGACACTTTTCAATATCTTTATTTTAATTAATTATATCTTTATTCTATATTTCATTAGTTGATTAACTTCTTATGTGAATTTATTATGATATTCCACTGAAAATATAAAAAATAAATTTACTTATATTAGCTGATGAAGGTATTAATTTATTTTTCTATTTATTCAGCTGATATCCTCTCTTTTGGATTACTTACAAGTAATTATTTAATTAAGTTTTATAATTTAAGACTATACAACCCCCATAAAGAACTTATATAAAAAATATAATACTTTCCTTCCCAATTAGGATTTTAATCATATCGAACTTTAAATATAATATAATACATTAATTATCCTAAAGCATAGATATCTACTTTGGTTGTAATTGGTAATTTTAATGATAAATCTTTTTATTCTGGTGCTCTTACATGTTCAAAAGTATTCATTTCAATTTCTTCTTTGATTTTTCCTAAATACTCATTTGGAATTAGATCGTATTACTAATTATAAATTAAAATACTTAAAAAAAGCATCTTTAAAAATTCCATAATTTGGCTTATTTATCTAATCCTATTAAAATGTTTTCTGGTCTGATATCTCGATGTGTTATGCCTAATGAATGACAATGCTTTAATGCTTTGCTTAAATCTAATAAAATCTACGCTTATTTTTCTGCTTACTTTTAGGACTTGAGGTTCCACTAAACCTTATTAAGAATCTTTCAAAATATTTTGGAGGACTTCAGCTTTTTCAAAAACTATTACTTTTTTATTTTATAATAATTCTCCTTCATATGATTTTGCAATGTATTCACATAGATTATCTTTAAAAAGATGAACAGCTTATAACTCTGTATTCAAATACTATATAAAATTGGTACATAATTAAATACCTTTTCTTATCCATCATCATAAATTTTGACTACATAATTGCATTCTGAAGTCAAAAATATTTTATATTTCGTGCCTTAAAAATAAGTTTATGTGTTTTTATACAGAAACTGCTGATTACCAAAAATAACTTTATGTTATTGCATTAATCAGTTTATAATAAAATAATTACATTATTATTTAACAATTTGAAATTTGTTTGAAAATAGTATAAATTTGAATTTGATTTATGAAAATTATTCATAAATTCATAAGATAAAAGATGTTAGTTTTATAAGTGTGAATTTGGAGGGATATAAATAATAATTTATTAAATAAAATTTATAAAAATGGATGAAATTCTTTATTTTTATGATGAGGATGAGGTATATGATATAATTTATAGAAAAGAATAATTTTAAAGGTGTAGATGGAGTAAAATAGATGGGTAATATTAGATAGGTGTGTAAAGGATTGCTAAAAAATTAATATTAAATTTTATCAGGTATATTGATTGATTAGAGTGTATAGAGAATGGATGTGTTTACTATTTAGAATATGGGAAATCATTTTACCGAATTCCTACATGGAATAATAAGGTGAAACAAATAGTAACAAATGAATCAGTTACTTTATTATTATGTTATTCAGGATAGTTATATGGATTTGGAGATGACAAATAATAATTAGGTATGATGTATAATATATTTAGGTTTATTGGGTAATGAGAAATGTTATAGTTCATAAAGTGTAATAAAGATTGGTAATGATTTTAAGAGTGTTTCATTATCATAAAATATAGGGTGTGGTATAGATTATAAAGGTTAAGGATGGATATGGGGTAATTCTCCTTTAGGTAGGAGTGATATTCCAGTAAAAATAGATGGCAGATTTATAAAGATTTGTGCAGCTAAAGATTATGTGATATTAACTGATTAATAAGCTTAAGTTAATGTGTTATGTGAAACATTCAAATTATCAAATGAATATTTCACATGTTAAAATATTTGGACAATAACAACAGCGCAATAAATAGATACTAATTATTTGATAGTTAATGAAATTGTACCAAATGACAGATACTCAATCTTATTATCAAGTAACATTTGAGCATCTAAATAGATAAAAACCGCATGTTTCTATTGATAAACAATAATGGGAGATATATTATTAGAAGAATAGCTATCAATATTAGAATACATCATTTATAATAGACTAACTATTATATATATTGTTATACTCAAGAAGGACGATTAATTAAAATAGATAAAGCTAATCTATATAGTAATGAAACCAATGAATTACAATCTATTAATGAACAAATTAGATTCTAATTACCTGAATTTGAATCTAAACATTTAAGTTCTATTTAACCTATTATTACTATTAAATATCCTTTCAATTTACCTGCATTCATCGTTGATAAAAGAAGATTTAATGAAGCTATATCTATTTTAAGATAATAACACATAGATGTAGATCTTAAAGCTCATTTAAAATCAACTTAAAATAAATTATAAATTATTAAATAAATCTCTCCTATTAAAAATTCGTATTAATAATAATAATAATAATAATAATAATTATTTTCATCTAGAATAATTAGTAAATCTAGAAATTCATTAACATCATAAATGTCTAGATTTTATTATTCACCTTAACAAAATGATAAAATTCATCATTTTTAAACACCTAAAAAATAAAATCCTACTACTCCTTCTAAATATATATAAACTTATATAAATTAAAATTCACCAAGTCCAAATGTTAAAACTTTTATATAAGAATAAAAAATTAATTAAATATCTACAGTTAAAAAAGCTAATTTAATTAGATTACTTGTTTAAGATATATAAAAATCAATTAATAATCTTAATAATTTATAATAAGTTCCTGTTGATATAAGAGATCGTACTCATTCAAGAAGAAGTAGTTCTGTTCATTTAGATTAAGTATAATCTATGATTGTGGAATTAGGGAATTCGTAATAAAGAAATAATAGTCATGAAAAAATTAATAAATTAAATAATTCATTTAATAGTAAAATATCATAACATGATAATAAAAATACAAATGCAAGTTCACTCTTTTAATCTGAATAAGATTTAATTGATGAATTAAGAGCATCTGAACCACTTGATATGATTGAAGAAGAATATTTAGAATATGATGAAGAAACTGATCAAATTAAAAGAATCTTAATTAGAAGACCTATTGATTAAGATTATGAATATGGAAATAATCTTAAATTAAATATGGGAGATGGTAAAATACTTCTATCAAGAAAATTAGTTAATGTTATTGATGAAAATGGATGGAATAGATAAAATAATGGATAACTTAAAAAAATTATTAGTGAATAAGAACCTTAATAATATCTTGAAGAAGAAATTCTTATTGAAAATCCTAAAACTGGATAAATTACTAGAAAAATTATTAGAATCCCTTATAATAATTAATCTCTAACATTAGGTGAAGGATTGAATGAAATTAATAATTAAGGATAAAAAATTATAGGTCGTAGAATTGTTGATAATTAATATTCTACTGAATAATTAGAATAAGAAGGATGGGTTAATAAAGAATCTAAATTAGAAAGAATTCTTGGAAATAGAGAACCTAATAAATATGTTGAAGAAGAAATATTAGAAATCAATCCATTAACAGGTTTAGTAGAAAGAAAAATCATTCGTAGAAAATATGATAAAAATAGAAAATTAGAAGAAGGATAAAAAATAATATCAAGTAAAATTGTAGATAATATATAATCATCTATTTAATTAGCTTAAGATGGATGGAATTGTAATTTTAATCTTGGAATTGCATCTAAATTGTTATCAAATTAAAATTAGACTTTTTATATTGAAGAAGAAATATTACTTGTATAATCAAAAAAATAAGATAGAAAATTAATAAGGAAAATCTATTTTGATGAATAATCTATTAATCAAATTTAATAAGAATTTGGAGAGAACTTATATGAAATTCAAGTTTAAGGAATTAGAATTATTGCAAGAAGAATTATTAAAGAGGAAACATAAATTGATAGAGATTGGAAGTATTATCCAGATAAAAAGTATTGGGAAAAAATTATTAGTTAAGGGGAATCTTGTAAATTTGTTTAAGAAACAATTATTTAAATAGATTTTGATAATTATGAATAAACAAAAAAATAAATCAGATATGATTTAAAAGTTGATGAAAAAAGTTTAATACTTGGTAATCATTTAGATGAATTATAATTCGATGGAAGTTAAATCAATTCTAGAGAAGTAGGAGAAAATATTGAATCAACCTTATATCTTAGAGAATAAGGATGGATTAAAAATAGAAATGAATAATTAGAAAAAATCATTTCTATTGATAAAATTTTAAATTTTTATGAAGAAGAAATATTAATTCAAAATTTATCAGCAGGAAAATAATAAAGAAAATTAATTCGAAGACCTATTCTTGAAGAAGGAGAAAAATGTAAATTGGGAGATGATTTAGAAGAAAGAATAGCTGATGATCAAGTTATTATAAGTAGAAAAATAGTTAAAAATGATGGGAATTTTGAAAATTGGAAAAAAAATGAAATTACTAGAAATTTAGAAAAAGTCCTAATTTAAAGTGAACCAATTGAATTTATATAAGAAGAAGTATTAACATTTAATCAATAAACAGGAACAGTGATTAGATAATTAGTTAAAAGACCATCTGTTAATAAAGATAAAATATAATTTGGATAATTAAAGGAAGTGGATAAAGATGGTAATATAGTTGTAAAACGTACCCTTGTACCTAATTTAAAGTTACTTGGTTCAGATTGGACAAGAGGATCAATGGGATCATATCGTTAAACAATTGCAGAAGAGCCTGAAGAATATGTTGAAGAGGAAATTATTGTAGTGAAAAATGGTAAATAGGAGAGAAAATTGGTGAGAAGACCATTTAATTAAGAAGATTTATAAAGAAATTATGGTGATGACTTAAATGATGTTAATGAAAATGGAGAGAAAATAGTTGCAAGAAGAGTTATTGGAAATGATCAATCAAAAGATTAATTAGAATAAGAAGGTTGGAAAATAAATGAGAATGGTGATTTGGAAAAAAAGTAGATTGAACCTACTGAATATCTTATAGAAGAAATTCTTTATTTTAATAAAGAAACTGGTAATTATGAAAGAAAAATGATTAAAAGACAAAAGAATAAATAAGATGAAAAATTAAATTTTGGTGAAAATTTATCAGAAGTAGATAGAAATGGTAATAAAATATTATCGAGATAAATAATTTAAAATGTTTAATCATTAAATAAATAGAAAGAAGAAGGATGGATTCAATCTAATGGAAATTATGAGAAGATCATTAATATTTAGGAACCTGAAAAATATATAGAAGAAGAAGTGCTCATATAAAAAAATGGAATTTAGGAAAGAAAACTTATAAGAAGACCTTACAATAATCAATAAGTGATTTTAGGAGAGAATTTAAATGAGGATCATAATGGAATAAAAATAGTTTCTAGAAAAATTGTTAGTAATGATTAATCTTCATCTTAATTATAAAATTAAAAATGGTTTAGAAATAATAAAGGACAATTAGAATTATAAATATCAAAATCTGAACCATAATAATTTATTGAAGAGGAAGTTTTAACTTATAATGAAGAGACTGGTCTAATGGAAAGAAAATTAATTCGTAGATAATACAATTAAAATAAAGATGGTAAATTGTAAATAGGAGTAGAATTAAATGAAGTTGATTCTAATGGTAATAAAATATTATCAAGATAAATTGTTGATAATACTAAATCATTCAAATCAAATAATCAAGAAGGATGGAATATACAAAATAATGGAACCTAAATTAAAGTGATTTCTTCTCAAGAACCTGAGGCATATATAGAAGAAGAAATATTGATTATAAATCCTAAAACAGGGAAATAAGAAAGGAAACTTATAAGAAAGCCTTATAATCAAGAAGATTTAGATATAGGAGAATCAATCAATGAAATTAATGATGGATAAAGAGTTGTTGCTAGAAGAATTATATAAAATGATTAATCTATTTATGCATCATAGAATTGGTAATTAAAAACAGGATAAGAGATCTAAGAAATTGTTTTAAATGAAGAACCAACTTAGTATATAGAGGAGGAAATTTTAATTAAAGATAAAAATGG